CGATTATTGCTGACTTAAGCATCGGAGTGTCTACCCCGAGTTCCACCTCGGGGCTTTGCAGGTCATCCCGAAGTGCAAGCGCGGACTGGAGAAGGACTTCTGGTTTGGTGCAATTACATTTTGGCACCGTCTGTGGGAATCGAACTGAAAGCTTTCTGGTTGCTCTTTCATCATGGTTCACACTCGATCAGTCCGAGCTGGTAATTCATCTCTGCCTCATGGCCAAGGTCAACCCCCCAACAGCCTCCCATCCCTGATCCCACCTCAAATTCCACCTCAGCTGCCACCTCAGCTTCCACCTCAGGCCCCAATTATGTTCCCTCCTGTTGATCATGCAGAAGGAGGAGATGAAAATCAACCTCATGTCTCAGCTCACAATTCAACTTCCACTACCAATCACGATGTAGTGACAGCTCAGCTCGCTGCCATGCAGCAGCAGTTTGGTGTTTTTCAGTTGGTACTAGCTCAGCTTTTAGCTAGAAATAATCCTGGTGATCCCCTCATTAATTTACTAAACCCTGCTCAACAACCCCCAGCTCCACAACAGAATCCCCAACCAGCTCAACCTGCTCCCGCTGTTAGTGAATCTCAGGATCAATCCCACATAGCACCCGCTCAGCAACCCATCCCTGATGATGTTACTCGCCGCCTTGATAGCTTTGAAAAGCTGATAGCTGAACACCGAGATCCTCCACCCCCACGCCATGCTACTGATTCCATACCTCATCCCTTGAATACCAACATCACATTGGAACCCTATCCTACTGGCTTCAAAATACCACAACTGGAGACTTATGATGGGACGAAGGATCCCGACGATCACCTGCATGCTTTTTACTCTTGCATGCAAGCACAGAATGCCTCTAACGCGTTAATGTGCAAGATCTTCCCCTCTACTCTGCGAGGTAATGCTCGAACTTGGTATTATAGTCTACCTCCGAGGTCGATCAGTTCTTACACAGAAATGGCATCTGCATTTGCCACTAAGTTTTCCAGTAGAAGGTTGATTAGGAAAACTACTACTGAATTGATGCGAGTTAAACAGAGGGACGGAGAGTCTCTAAAGAACTACATGAGCAAGTTCAATGATGCGGTGTTGGAGGTTAATTCCTTCGACCAAGCTGTAGGCATTGCAGCTGTAATCTCTGGTCTCAAACATGATAGGTTCAGAGACAGTTTGATCAAACATGCTGCCACCACCATTAGCGAGGTGAATGATCGGTCTCTTAAATTTATAACCGCTGAGGAGTATGCCCTGGCACAAAACCCACCCCCTTCTAAAAACCCAGAATGGAGAGACGACAATCCAAGCCGGAAAAGGATGAGGATGGCGCAAAACCGAGGTCCGATGTTGACCTCCCCACCGAGATTCGGAAGACAGAACTCAACACCCCAGCAACAGTCTGCAGGTAAACCTCCAGTTAATTGGATTCCTTTTAATCTGCCGAGGTCACAAATTTTTATGCAGATAAAGAACAAAATGGACTTGAGACGTCCTGGCCCAATGCGAACTGCTGCTGCTAGTCGTGACCACACCAGATATTGTGATTTTCATCAAGATCACGGCCATACTACAGAGTAATGCAACAGCTTAAAATCCGAACTGGAAAGTTTAGCTCAGAAGGGAATGTTGAATGAGTATGTCCAGAAAGCTGAACAACCGAGGTTCGTCAGAGAGCAGAGACCGCAGCCTCAAGGAGCCCGCAATCCCCCAAATAGGCAAGGTGTGGGATATCAACAAACCCCGCCTCCACTCCCACCACCGGCTAGAATCATACATATGATTACGGGAGGCCTTGAAGCAGGTGGACTGAGCTCTAAGCAGCGAAAGCTGTATGTTAGAGAGGTTAAACATCAGAACCGAGCCCAGAAGCGGAAGATCGACGATGCTGAGTGGAAGAATCAACCCATTACTTTCACATCCGCTGACCTCGACACAGTTGTTACACCCCACAATGATCCTCTGGTCACTTCTGTCATGATCAATAACTGCAAAGTACAGCGTGTCCTTGTTGACACCGGGAGTGCACCAGACATCATGTATTTCCACTGCTTCGAGAGTCTTGGACTAGACCCAGCATTATTGCAGAAGTATGATGGTCCTATCTATGGTTTCAACAACCAACCTGTTCCGGTAAAAGCAGTTCTTACCCTCCATGTGGCTTTTGGGAGTGGCAGGACCTATGTAACCCCGTCAGTCCGGTTCCTCGTCGTCAAGATGGCCTCCTCTTTCAACATTGTTATTGGCCAACCCACATTGACTGAAATCCGAGCTGTGGTTTCCCAATCCCACCTCTGCATGAAATTCCCCACTCCTATGGGAATCGCAACGCTGCGAGGAAACCAGGAGGTGGCCAGACATTGTATCACCTCGGTAACACAACCGATGAAGGGCAAAGCTCAGACACCCGAGGTCATTCCCCAGCGAATTTCTGATAATCAGCAAGTTATGGGTGTTGAGATCGTTGATAATTGACCGGAAGATGAAACCAGAGCTGCTCAGGTCGAAGATGTTGAAGAAGTACTTATTGATGACAATGATCCGAGCCGAAAGACGCAGATCGGAACTAGATTGAACCCGGAGGAGAGAGCAGTACTGATAGCTTTTCTCCGAGCTAACAATGATATATTTGCATGGACTTCGGCAGATATGCCAGGAATCCCAACTTCAGTATGTCAACATAAGCTCAGTACCAATCCATTGAAGAAACCAGTGGCACAGAAGCGGCGTCTCTTCGGGGGGGAGAGGCTTCAGGCTATTAAAGAAGAGGTAGAGAAACTCCTACAAGCTGGTTTTGTCCGGAAAGTTGATTACTGCGAATGGGTGGCTAACCCAGTTCTGGTGAAGAAGGCAAATGGCAAATGACGAATGTGTATTGACTACACAAATCTTAACAACGCCTGCCCTAAGGATTGCTATCCAATGCCGAGCATCGATAAATTAGTTGAAGCGGCTTCAAGCAATGAGAGATTAAGCCTCTTGGACGCATATTCGGGGTATCACCAGGTGCCAATGGCTCCAGAAGATGAAGAGAAAATTGCGTTCTATGCTGGCGATGAAATTTATTGTTATGTCATGATGCCGTTTGGCTTGAAGAATGCAGGTGCTACTTATCAGAAAATGGTAACCATTGTCTTCCACGCTCAGATCGGCAAGAATCTGGAAGTATATGTCGACGACATTGTGGTAAAGAGCCTAAGAGCAGAAGACCATCTCGCTGACCTTGATGAAACCTTTAACAACCTCAGAAAAAACCGGATGCGGTTAAACCCAGCCAAGTGTATCTTCGGAGTGGAGTCTGGAAAGTTTCTAGGTTTCATGGTGTCCCGAAGAGGGATTGAGGTCAATCCAGAGAAGATCAGAGCAATTGCCGAGATGGAACCGCCGAAGTCAATTAAAGACATACAGAGGTTGACTGGAAGGGTGGCAGCTCTGCATCGGTTTATCTCCAAGTCAACGGATAAGTGTTTACCATTCTTCAAAATTATGAGGTCAGCCGCCCAGAAGGATGAGTCAGGAAAACAGAAGAAATTTGAATGGACTCA